CCCTCCCACCCCCAGCCCAGGCCCGTCCCCGTCCCCCGGGGGTCCCAGCCGGTTGTCCCCCCTCACCCTCCTGCTCTGTGCCATCCCCATGTCCCCGATGGTGGTCTCCTTGTCCCCCTGCCCCGGGGGGCTGGGGACGCGGGGACAGGGGCTGGTGGCCCCGTGTGCTCCCCTGGTGACGGTGACGGTGGCCTCGCTCCTGTCAGCAAAAGCCACTAATTCCCGGGATTAGCCCTGAGGAGCCCGAGGGGGGGGGACACGTGGCCTGTGCGGGGCTGGTGGCACCGAGCCCGCTGCTGGGGGCACTGGTGTGACTGGTCCCACTGGGGGGACTGGGCCACTGGGGACACTGGTCTCAATGGGGGGACTGGGATCTGCTCAGGGGACTGGTCCCACTGATATGACTGTCCCACTGGGGCCACTGGTCCCACTGGGGGGACTGGTGTGACTGGCTCCTCTGGGGGCACTGGTCCCGATGGGGGCACTGATGTGACTGGTCCCAATGGGGCCACTGGGATCTGCTGGAGGAACTGGTCCCACTGGTGTGACTGGTCCCACTGGGGGCACTGGTGTGACTGGTCCCACTGGGGGAACTGGTCTCAATGGGAACACTAGCATGAATGGTCCCAATGGGAGCACTGGGATCTGCTGGGGACACTGGTCCTACTGGGGGCACTGGTGTAACTGGTCCCACTGGGGGCACTGGTCCCAATGGGGGCATTGGGATCTGCTGGGGGCACTGGTCCTACTGGGGGCACTGGTGTAACTGGTCCCACTGGGGGCACTGGTCCCAGTGGGTTCACTGGGATCTGCTGGTGTGACTGGTCCCAATGGGGGCACTGGGATCTGCTGGGGACACTGGTGTGACTGGTCCCACTGGTGTGACTGGGCCACTGGGGGCACTGGGATCTGCTGAGGGCACTGGTCCCACTGGGCGCACTGGTGGCACTGGTCCCACTGGGGGGACTGGTCCCAATGGGGGCACTAGTGTAACAGATCCCACTGGTGTGACTGGGCCACTGGGGGAACTGGTCCCAATGAGAACACTGGGATCTGCTGAGGGCACTGGTCCCACTGGTGGCACTGGTCCCACTGGGGGGACTGGTCCCACTGGGAGCACTGGTGTGACTGGTCCCACTGGGGAAACTGGGATCTGCTGGGGGCACTGGTCGCACTGGGGACTCTGATCCCGATGGGGGCATTGGGATCTACTGAGGACACTGGTCCCAATGGGGGCACTGGGATCTGCTCAGGGGACTGGTCCCACTGGTGTGACTGTCCCACTGGGAGCACTGGTCCCACTGGGGGGACTGGTGTGACTGGTCCCTCTGGGGGCACTGGTCCCAATGGGGGCACTGGGATTTGCTGGGGACACCAGTCCCGATGGGGGCACTGATGTGACTGGTCCCAATGGGGCCACTGGGATCTGCTGGGGGAACTGGTCCCACTGGTGTGACTGGTCCCACTGGGGGAACTGGTCTCAATAGGAACACTAGCATGAGTGGTCTCAATGGAGGCACTGGTCCCAATAGGGGCACTGGGATCTGCTGGTGGCACTGGTCCCACTGGGGGCATTGGTCCCAATGGGGGCACTGGGGTCTGCTAGTGTGACTGGTCTCACTGGGGGCACTGGTCCCACTGGGGGCATTGGTGTGACTGGTCCCACTGGGGAAACTGGGATCTGCTGGGGGCACT